TAGTACCCTCACATTTGGGAAGGGGACAAACGTTTTAGACCTTTTTTGTTTCCAGTCCTCTGCTATCCCAAATTTGTGCAAGGCCTTCTTATTTGGCATATGTATAAGCAACATACTTAAGTTTGGAGTTTGCACAATATGTGAAAGTCCTTTCAGAAACATCAAAAAATTCTGCGGGCGCCCATGTACGGTTGGGTTTATTTTTTAACTTTTAATAAAAAAGAAATAAATGGCCGACTTTTTATATTTGCATTTTTGTTTGGTTTTATTCTTTAAAACCAACAGGTTTTTATAAAAAAAAAATAGCTAACTTTTTATATTTGTATTTTGTTTGGTTTTCATTGTTTAAAACCAACAGGTTTTAACGGAAGTTGCTCAACAAACAAACGAACAAACGTCCTTTATATAAACAAAGTAACTAAAAAAAAACGTAATGTTTTTTTTTTATTATTCAAATAAATGTGATGTTACTATAGTAACTAAAAGCGATTATAAGCCGTTTTTATTTTCATTTTATTTTTGACCATTTAGAACTACTGGAGCAATCTTCGAATCTCGAGCTTTTTTTCAAATACTATATAGGTGAACTTTCTACAACTGATTTATAAGTAATTTATTAACAAATATTTTGAGAGTCATCGGGACGTATGAGGAGCTACAAAATATGCCGGAAGATGTGTCAAAATAAATCAAAAGCAAATGAAGATTAAACATTGAAAGAAATGCTAGCAGCATTTGATAAGTTTAACAAATCTTCCTAATACAAAATAAATCTTGTTAGTTCTAAAAATTAACATCAGTAGCATAACTTCTAAAGCAAAAAATCATTTGCTTTAATATTTCTTATAATTTAATATAAAAAAATGCATAATTTAATTAACGTCATTTTAAAAAGGTATTTACGTCATTTAATATTTATGTCTGGTCACGCTTCGTGTGTTTCTTAATTTTAATTTATTTGTTTTATGGTTAAATATAAACATTGAGCACGAATGCGTATATAAACTTAATTAACTCTTTTTTTCCCAATGTTGCCATTTGGCAACACAAACTTCAAATTCGAAAATGAAACCCTGTTTTATCTTGTTTTGATTTTAAGTAATGCTTAAGTTTTGCTACTTCCTACTAGATGGCAAGATATGGAATTTAAAAATGAACGTGCCGATTCGCTATTGTTTTTTGGAAATATTGAATGTCATTGTAAATTTTTTTTTTAAATTTACAAATCGGGAAAGAAAGGGTTAAAAAAAAACACACACATCCATTTATTACTTCCACTTCCGTAGCTGGTGGATCGGAGGGCCCCCGCCCCATCCAAACCTATATTCAGGGCCCTAAAATCTAAAAAAAATTTCCACTAGGTATTACTAAAAAAAAAAGCCTAGCCACGGCTCTGATTTCTTCTTCTTACACTTTATACTTTTTTAAACCTGATAAACAAAATTTTTATAAATATTTAAGAAGCTGTTGAATTTTGTAACTACCGCTGGTAACCAGCAAAAATTTAATAATAAAATATAAGTAGTAGTGTGATAAACATATTATCTGGCACTTTTTTTTTTTTACTTGTAGTTTGCATCCTAATTTATTAATTTTTTTTGCAACCTGAAGTTATACTTAAACCGGCTGTTTGAAGAAAGGAGTAAATCCATCCAATATGATTTTGTAAGAAATGTAACTTATATTTTGCACTTTTCTGATGTTTAATTTAAGTATGTTTTAAATCCTACTGAGAAATTCAAACTGTTTGGCATTATTAAACACTTCAATATTTTTAAAAAAAATGTAAAATGAAAACAAAACAAATACCATACAGTAGGTTAGAGCAAATATTAACGTTTAAAAAATACCAAACTTATCGTTATATTATTATTAGTTAAAAACTTATTCAACTTTTAAACCACAAAATTTATGATTTTTATTTTTGTATGACTTTTGACGTTTTTAGCAATTTAAAGCTTTTAAGAATAGCATCTACGTTTCTATCACGTCCGTTCATTTACAAAAATTACAATAAGACTATTATTATTCAAAACTAAGAATGTAATAATAATAAAACTGTAGTAATTAGAATTTTAATGGCTAGAAAACGACCGACCTTTGACATGATAAATCTGAGACAGTACTTTTTTTTAAATATTTTCTTTAACATTAATGCAATAAGGTTTTACAAAAAAAAAAAAATTATTTTAAAAAATTCAATTTTTATTTTTGAAGATTAAAAAGTTAAGTCTTGAAAATTGACGAGTGCTAAAAGAAAAAAAAAAAAAGTTTTTTTTAAAAGTTAACTTTTTAGTGGGAGACACATTTTTTGTTACCATTCAAAGTTATGCACACTATTAGAGTAATATAATACTATAATCGATTTTCTTATTTAATCAAAAAAACATTAAATACTTTCAAAAACATTTAGCTTATAAATTGACCTTAATTTTTGAATCAAATTTTCTCTTAAAAAAAATTTCAAAAAATGTTATTAGTACTATTGTTAAGCTATGGTTCTACTTTTTTTAATAAACAAACAAAAAGTTATTGTATTTTATATTATCGTTTGAACTATGGAAGAACATACACCTCAAACTACTTTGACAGCATAAAACGTAAAATCTTTTTTCTTTAGCCGTGTTTTATCGATTATCGATATTACATTCTCAGATGTTGAAGTGCTTAGAATTGTTTTCTTTTTCTTGAAATTTTTGAAAGTAAAAGTCTTTAATAAAGTATTATATATTCAAAATTTAATTGAAAATGAAACAATTAATGAAGAAAATGTTACATACCTGTGTTTTGCGTAAGTTATATAATAAGAAAAATATATCAACCATCTCAAATGCAGCGTATTGCCACATTCCGCTTTCATCTATACACTTCATTTAATACCATAGACTCTGTAGTAGCAAGATCGGTATTCCGTATTTAAGCTTATAAAATATATTTCGTTATGTGAATAATTAACAAATTAATTAATTATTGACAAAGCAGTTGAAAAATATATAACTTAAAAATGATCCTGAAGAACAAAATAAATGTGGTTTTTGTTTACTTAATAAAAATAATGAAAATTCTCCCATCTAAATCTTCTTAGCAAAATTTTTTTGTTGAGTTCCTGAAGCTTATAAATGTTTTTAAGTTTAAAAATGAAAATCATTAAAATTGAGAAATTTTGTAATTTATTCCCTTCTTCGAACTACTGGTTCAATTAGAGAAAACTTACTCTTATTTCAAAAGAACTAACCTGTTATTTGGAAAATATAATAAGAAATCGAGGTGTTTAGTTGCTCGATATTTTTCTGAATATTTGCATTGCATTGCATCTGTATTGCAAAGTTATGTTTGAGTGTTGCAAAGCCATGTAATATGAATGGCAAGAAAGTGAATTTTTGAGAGTAAAAAATGTAACTTTTTTTCACCTAAATTCACTTTTTATTGGTCTATTTTCCAACTTTAACATTTCAACATCAAGATAAATCAACTAAAAGGCCTAGGTTCTAACTTCTAATCTTCAAGCCCAAATAAAAAGAAAAAACGTTATCTTTATTTTATTTTATTTTTGCACAGATAAATAAAAAAGTTGTGAAAAGTTGTGCATATTTGTAATAAATTAAAAACGAGAATTTAAAGTTTTTTTCTTTATAACTTAGCTAAATTTGAGTACAAAGTTGTGAACAAACAATTAGGATTTTAATTGAAATGAATTATAACAAAATTTATAATTAACAAAAAAAAAAAAGAAAAAAAAAAGAAAAACGTTTTGAAATAATTGTAATGCTTGTTTTAAAATTAGGAAGATCAACGAATTAAGAATTCACATATTTTTTAAGTTCATAAAATATTGACTACGTTATTTTAAAAATCAGTATTAATCAGGTGTATCGCAAATTATTTTTAAAATTTTATTATTTGTTATAAAAAAAGTTCTCCATACTGTGCAGAAAGTTTTGTTGCTAATTTTTATGAAAATTGTTAAATTAGATGTACTTTGTGACCAATTTTCAACATGGGTAAAAACAACAGTAAATTGAGGTCGGATGAAATTGAGTATATTTGTGAACAAACGTATTATAACGCGTGTGAGGTTCAGGAATGGTACAAGGGTATGTAGTTCATTAAATTACAAAATTTTTAATAATATTGAAGCCGTAGGTTTTGGTTTTTAACGTACAAAACCCACTTATATCAATTGGGTTATTCAACAATTAAATTTAGGTACAAAATATTTAAACTGTAACGCGGCAGTTACAAATGATTTTAATTTTTATCATTCAAGCATAGCCTGATGGATTTTGCGTTAAGACGAGGAATCGACAGATTGTCTAACTTAAATTATTTCTTGTCATTTACTCGATATTTGAGCTTTTAGCCTCAGCGTACAAGAAAAACCAACTTAGATATAGAAACCAGCCTATTAATGGTTCATTGAATCTAAGTGTCTCAGTAATACATAATATTCATTTAAAAAGTGTTTTTTCTGTTGTCAACTTTCAATCGCCGCGGAATTATAATGTAATAAAGAATCTTGTAAAGCAATACAAATGTGGTTTTGCATATAGAAAATAATTAATTTTTTTATGAGGCGCAGTCTGTTAATTTAACAACAACAAATACGTTAATACGACTTGAATTTATATAAAGAGCAGCTCTACGCAGATGTTTTTTATTGTTATTTATTTGCTTGTGTTGTTTGCTTGCTGTTATAAAAAAGCTAATCAATTGTTTTCATTCGTAATAAGTTTGTCTGAAAGATTTAATTCTGTTGTTGTTATTTTGGGCTCATCATCTTATAAGTGTTGGTTGGTAAACCTAGAAAAAATTTGTGAAAACGACTCTAGTTTTAGAAATACTCATTTTAAAAATAATATTCTAATTTCAAAAATTTCTTGTACTTTTATTAATCGCTAAAAAATAAATTAAAGATTGCATACCGCTAGATTAACATCTTAGTCTGTAATTACCTTCTGAGCATATAAAGCTTTTTTTATATTTTATTAATGAAGCCATCTGTTTCTATTGATTTTTTTTTTAAAACTAAATTTTCGTTTTTTTTTAAACGAATATTTGCAATGAAATGTTTTAAGGCCTATATATTTTGCAACTGCTTTTAAGGCTTCATTTATTTTGTATTTTATTACCAATAACAAGAATATTGTAATGGGTAAGACAAATAGTAAGCTGAAGCCTGAAATTATTGCTGATCTACGTGAAAGCACAGAGTTTACAGAAAGTGAACTGCAGGAATGGTACCGAGGTTAGTTGACTTTATTAAAAGCATAGGTATAATAAAAATTGAAATACATTTAAAACCTAACTTAAAATTGTTCTTTTCATTGGATCAGGCATTGTTTTTATATAATCAGTAAGGTTTTAAAACCTTATTAAAGTAATGAATGGCAATTTTGTTAAAAACAAGTATTTTTTTATTTTAATTTTGTTTTATTAAGTAAACAATTAAAACTAGTTTAGATAAAAGTAATGTGGGATCCTTTATTATTAATATTAACATCATTGTATTTTAGTTCTGTTTTTAAACCATATTTCTTTGACTGAGTGTCAGTCAAATTTTTTTTTTTAGCTACCCTCTTTATTGTTTTTATATATTTTTAAAGGTTTTTTGAAAGATTGTCCAGATGGAACATTAACAGTTGAAGAGTTCAAAAAAATTTATGGTAATTTTTTTCCATATGGAGATGCTGCTAAATTTGCTGAGCATGTTTTTCGTACATTTGATGCTAATGGTGATGGAAGGATTGACTTTCGAGAATTTATTTGTGCACTTAGTGTTACAAGTCGAGGAACATTAGAGCAAAAGTTAAAATGGGCTTTTTCTATGTATGATCTTGATGCTAATGGGTAAAAAATTTCTTATCAAATTTGTTTATTTGGAACATGCATTTTGTTTGTCTATGTTGCAATTATTGAGTAAATTATTATTATTATTATTATTATTATTATTATTATTATTACTATTATATACATATATATATATATATATATATATATATATATATATATATATATATATATATATATATATATATATATATATATATATATATATATATAAAAGTCACCAGTGGTTTTTAATTTTTTCAAAAGAAAAAGTTGTTTTAAATGGGAATACCTTAATTAGATTATAAAACAATATTATGAAAAATTAGTCTTCTCTACTCTATGTTATTTTGATTTAAATTTCGATAATTTATTATGAAATATAGATTAGGGTAGGTCATAATAAATTTTTAAAATGGGTGTTGGTTAGACCTTTTTTAGTTTATTTTCATATATAGTGAAATGTAAATACAATGATGTTTAATTTTAATTATGTTTAAGGCGTGTTATTGTTCTATAATTTTTTTTTTACCTAAAATCCACAAATTGGATGAACTTATGTAAATAAAGCACTTAAAAAAAACATGTTTTAAAATATTGCATTTTATTTGACTTTATATTGATAATTACCACAAAAAAAAATTTCTCTCATAAAATGCAAAAAATTGCTGTTATCTAACATATATATATATATATATATATATATATATATATATATATATATATATATATATATATATATATATATATATATATATATATATATATATATATATATATATATATATATATATATATATATATATATATATATATATACAAATATATATATATATATATATATATATATATATATGTATATAAATTTATATATTTTCTTCTCATTTATATATATATATTATATTTAAATTAGTAGAAAATCACTTATCAATTTTTTTTTTATTTGACGCAGTGTTTTATCAATAAAGGCTCATCAAAGTTGATTTCATTTCTGATGAGTTTTTATTAATGAAACATTAGATATAAAATTAAAATGAGTGATTTTCTAATTTATATATATATATATATATATATATATATATATATATATATATATATATATATATATATATATATATATATATATATATATAGCTAATAAACCAGACAAGAAATAGTTTAAAAACTAGAATAGTTTTTTTTTAATTAAATGATAGACTGCCTGCCCTAACCAAACCTTCAGTCGATGTAGCCACACTCTGTTGCTATTTGTCAGTCGATGTAGTAGCCCTCCGTTGTGAGTCAGGCTATAAGATTGTCAATGTAGCAACACTCCGTTGCGAGTCAGGCTATAAGATAGTCAATGTAGCAACACTCCCTTGTAGCAGCAGGCTATAAGATTATCAATGTAGCAACACTCTGCGCAAGTTTTAAAAATATATTTTAACAAAACAACAACAAAAACACCATTGATTTAAAAAAAATTTCTATTTATTATTATTGCACCATTATTATTATAAATTTTATTGTTTTTTTTAAAAAACAATAAAATTTAAAGCACTTTCACATTAATTTAATTGCTTTGACATTTCGACGACAATAAAATGTAGCTTAATTGTCGAGGTAACAAAATTGTAGTCGAAAGAGACTCTTTTTACATTAAAAGTCTCTTTCGACTACAAAATAAGGATATATATATATATATATATATATATATATATATATATATATATATATATATATATATATATATATATATATATATATAATATATATATATATATGCATGTATATACATGCATATATATATGCAGGGCCTCACTCACACACACACACACACAGAAGTAGGTAGAAAATTTCAGAAAAAAGAAGTAAATTTTATTAAAGGTTTAAATGATAAATTTCTTGTCTAACGCAAGACAAAACTAGCTAGACTTAAAAGATTTGAATATATTTAGCATTCAAACGCAATAAAAGTAAAGCAAATGTTGGAAAAGGCAAGGTTTTATAAAGTTAAAATGGAAAAAAATACTTAGAAATGAAGTTGAGATAAAAACAAGGTTGATGGTTCATTTGGAAGAATTACTAAATAAAGAGTTTAATTTGAATAAAGGTTTCTCTGCAGTTAATAAGGTTAAGAGCTGATAATCTGTATTTAAGCTGATAATCTGTATTTAAGCTATTCCGAGTGCTTGGTTAGGCAAGTTCTTTCTGGAGGTTTGGCTGAGATGATGAAGGCTTCAGCAGGCATTGGTGTTCAGTGTATGTAAGATTTTTGCAATTGTACATGAAGGTAAATCCCAAATGAATAAAAGTTGATTTGTAAATAAGTTAGAGACACATAAAAATTGGTTCATACCAAGAAATAATTGAGCAGGTTGCAAAAAAATATCTCTGGATAGTATTTAAAGACCTTGAAAAAACTTGGGCTTTAAAGGATTTAGGTGTTGAAGAATGGCTGGTAACATTTGTTGTGGCTATGTATAGAAGTTCACAACTGTAATTTAAAACAGAGAAAAGTTAAGAGAAAGAAGAGTTGGTTTTATAGTTTCAGTATTGGTAAGATGAAATAGAAGCAAATGGTTTATATTAAATGTGAAAAAGTACTGGAAAGTGAAAAAGAAAGAAAAAATTTAGAACAAATTGTTTGTATAGTTTGTAAGTGGTGGGTTTGCAAAAGGTATATGTAGTGTTATGCAATATGTATACTTAATACTGTTGCTTTTTTCATTTTATAAAATGTACTTTTGGTAAGTACATAGAAAAAGTAAAAATAAGATTGAAATATATAGTGTTAGATAGAGAGAGTGTGTTGGTATGTTTTGATGTGTGGCGGAATTAGAAATTGATGATGGTTGAATTAGGTTAGAAAAAAAAGCGATGGTTTTAAATAGAGATTGGGAATCGTTTTGTATAAAATGGATTGTATTTGTTTTGTATTAAATGTCAAAACTTTTTATGAACTTTAAGTGTTAATAGTTTTTACTTTTTTTTGTAAAAAAATTTGGTTTTCATTTATTACAGTTTTTTTAAATACTTTTGATAAGTTAGAAAGCATTTTTTTGGTTTGTTACTTTTTCTGGTTTGTTACATTTTTTTGGTTTGTTACAATTTTTTTTATTTTTATAGCTATATTTCTCGAGAAGAAATGCTTGAAATAGTTCGTGCAATATACAAAATGGTTGGAAATGTGGTAAAAATGCCAGAAGATGAATCTACTCCAGAAAAACGAGTTGATAAAATTTTTAGACAGATGGATAAAAACACTGATGGAAAATTATCCTTAGCTGAATTTATAGAGGGTGCTAAAAGTGATCCGTCTATAGTTAGGTTATTACAATGTGATCCAGCTGGTAATCGTTAGTTTCACAATCCACATTTTGTAATTCCACAATCTTACAATTAGTTTTTCTCAAAGTCTAATTTTTTTGTCTTGTAAACATCACAGTTTATATTCTATCAAACGTTGAATATTCGTTCGTTGTAAATTAGATCAATTCTTAGTTTTTATAGAGATTGTTTCCATATATATTTTAACTTTTTTTTCCCTAAATTACTTTGTCCTCCCTATCTCTCTAAAAAATATATATATTTTTTTTTCATTGTTTTTAAAAAAGTTTTTAAGGGTTTATTATAGGTCTAAAGAATTTGATGAGTTAAAGATTAAATAAATTAGATATTTGCGTTCATTTCAAATTTTTAAATACTCTTAAATACTTTTAAATACTTTAAATACTTTTAAATACTTAAATACTTTTAAATACTTTAAGACTCATAAAGTTTCTTATTTGATATTTTTCTCATGATTTATTTCTTTTTTAATTGCTGTTTATTTTTCATAGTTATTATTTTTTTGACGAAGGATTTCAATGAGTTCATTGGAGATTTTACGAAATCATCAAGTACATCAAGGCATTTTATAAGAAGTGTTATTGTTTTTAGATAATCTGCTAAAATAAAGAAACTTAAAGCGTTCACAATCCTTCAAATAAATATATTTATTCGATAATTAAATGCGGTTGGAAACGCTATAAACTCTAAACATTAATAATTTAAATATTTTTTTTTTTTCATTTAACAAAACGAGACATTTTAATAAAATTTTAATAAAAATGTTTTATCTTTCGTTAAATAGTATTATTAAAATAATACTTTCGATTTGCAATGAGAGAGATCTAAATTTTTAAACAAGCTATTACATTAGTAATAAAAATCATAAAAACTGAGGTATGACGATAAATAACTTTTTTGTCCCTCGTTTTTGATGTTTAATATAAGTAACAAACAAGAACTTTGAAAAAATTCTTGTTTGTTACTTATATTAAACATCATTTTAAATGATGTTTAATATAAGTAACAAACAAGAACTTTTATAAGTAGAACTTTTATAAGTCTTGTATAAAACAAACTTATAAAAGTTCAAACAAGAACTTTTATAAGTCTTGTATAAGTCAAAGTATACTTTATTTTTGAAGCAAAGAATGTTTTCTTCTTTTCAATAATATGTTTCATAAAAAAAAAGAACTATAAATAATATTAATTTTTTAAAATTATTTTTACAAGAAACTATTTTTGATCGGATTTAAATTATTTTCAAGTTACGTCACAATTATAATCAATGAGAACCAATAATAAAAATATAATTTTTTCTCATTAGGTGAACAATAAAACCAATATAGATTAAAAATTTAATAAAACGTCTTTACTTCTTAGTGTTCTGTGATATGGCCTTGCAAAGGCTTTGCAATACCATATCGTTTTGGAGTACATATACGATCGCAAAACCACAAACAGCACGTGTTGTTTTCACATTAAGAAAGTAAACATATAGATAATTGATTATTTTATTAATTACTGACCGTAATTAATAAAATAAAAGCTGAGGATTTTAAAAGCGGAATAGTAGATTTTTTTAGTCTTTATTAAATAACTTCCTTATTTTACAACATATTCAAATCAAAACATTACCATTAGATTTATAATAAAACTCTATTAGACTGTATTGTTAAACTATTTAAACCTAGTTTATTTTTTTAAATGTTGAAAGCTTTAAATAAGTTAATAATGATTATTTTCGAGTGACGCAACTCAAATGGTCTTTTTCCTCACATAGATTTCATCAAACAAAAATATCGTTTACATGTTCTGATAAAGAAAGCTCTTCTTTATATATATCTCCTTTATATGCTTTTACATTATGATATGTCTTAAGTAAAAATAAACTTGAAATAGTGACTGAATATACGCTAACTTTATTGTTTTACAGATTTTAAACTGTTTCTTAGTTACTCTTTTGTGGATGGGGCACAAGTTGTTTTAAGACTTTTCTTTTTATTTGTGACATGTATATTGTTGAGGCGCCGTTTTATGTTCCCTTGGATGTCAAAATTTTAACTGCGCCAATGAGTCCTTCTGTATTGTCTTTAATAAAAATCATCATAGGCGTCACATAAATATTTAACGACAGGTGTCACGATATTTAGCTAAAATAAGCGCCACAACAGTTTTTATTAAAATATAAGTTTTAAAGTTTTGTTCCGTTTTAGATGTTTTTTCAAGTTTATCGTTTGGTACAATTTTCTAAGGACGACGTTTTTACTTTTATTACTAAGTACCTATGTTTCAAACTTAAAAAAATAAAACATTTTTTGGTCATTTAGTAATTTCAATGAAGTTTTAAAAATATCAAATGTTTTCGCAATATATATAACTAAATTATGATCCCGCGACACCGTAATATGTTTCAGGATATATATATATATATATATATATATATATATATATATATATATATATATATATATATATATATATATATATATATATATATATATATATATATATATATATACATATATATATATATATATATATATATATATATATATATATATATATATATATATATATATATATATATATATATATATATATATATATATATCCTTTGTTACATGTTTCAAAACATGTTTATTTAAGCTTACTCATTATTTTCGTAATAAAAATACTATTGTAATGAAAATTAATTTAATTTAAGACATGTGTGGAACTGTGTTGAGATAAGTAGGTCTTAAAATATATTTTAAATAATCAATTAAAATTTTATTTTATTTGCTTTTTCTAAAAATATTTACACTAAAAGTTAACACGAAAATAAATAAAGCTTCAAAGCCAATATTAATAAATAATATACGAATCGCAAATTTAATCTAGAAATAATGGTGAGTATAAATAAAGGCTGATTTATTTAACCAAAATAAAGTACAGAAGAATAAGTAATTTTAGGACATTTTATAGAAAGTAATATAAGTATAACATCGCATAATTGATATAATTAAAACTATAAAATTAAATATAAACCATGTTATCAGTATATCAAACCGTTTGAATAAATACTCAAGTTTTAAGTATTAAATTTTATCACCAACATACTTACGAAATTACAAGTACTGATACTTGTTAATAGCTGTTTTTGAACTGTGAAAAACTGTATAAATTAAATATTACGAATATTAACCAAGTTTTGTTGCAAATTATAATATGTTTATACAATCAACCTTACGTTAATACATTACACGCATAAAATCAAATCAAAACCAAAATAAACATGTTATTAAAAGTTCAAACATCGCTTACATAAAGTGATAATTACTAATCTGAAGTAACCCCCCCCCTGTCAAATTTAATAAAAAAAAGGTAATAGAAAAAAATTTAAATTTATCTAATATCACTATGATTGTTGAAATTTGGAAATTTTAAAATGAGTTTTCTCAAAAACCATTTAATCAAATTTTATGATTTTTTCTTTAAATGATCCATACATAAGTAGTTTTCTGTGCATGCATTTTGTTTACATTTGAATAGTTTTTTTAATGTTGAGTAAAAAAGTCTGAAAATCAAAAAAATGTTTTGAAGTCTTATTTAATGAAAAGAATTGTGCTCATGTTCAATAATTTCAAAAGCATGTAAAGTTCCAAATTGTCATTAAACGTTTTAAGGAGAACGAAATTATAAACTGAAAATAGGGAAGTGGTTGAAAATTAAGATTTAGCTACAAAATTACAACAAAATTTAGCTACAAAGTTTAAATACAAGAGATCTTTCATTCAGAGAGTATCCAAAAAAGAATAACTGAAAGCTTATTACAAGCAAAAAATATACTAGAAAGATCACTTGATGGCTTTAATTTGCTAAAGGTAATGACGAAAAAAAATTGGTGCATTTTAGAAGACAATGAAACTGTAGAAAAGATTACTCAATGTTACTTCAATGCTTTATAAAGCGTCTGACAGGTTTAAATGGAGTCAAAATATTTGTTTCAAAGCTCTCCTTTTATTACAACTTAAATTTTGACAACAGATCTATAAGTGATAAGATGCTTTAAAAAACAACTTTTAATTAAAAAATATAAACGACCAACTTTATATTGGACAGATCTAGCACCAAAAAATAAAGTCGATCTCGTTCCCAAGAATGCTAATCCTGATTAGTAACCATCCTGATTAGCGAGCCATTGATACTTACTGGCCAATCATTAAGGAAATACTGAGGAAAAAAAGAAAATGTGCAAATAATGTTGAAAAAAAAACAAAGTTTTTGGATTAAAGTGTCTTAAATGTAATTTTAATCATTCATTCTAATTTTAGTTATACATTGTAATTTTAGTAATAGATTGTAATTTTAGTAATTCATTGTAATTTTAATGATACATAGTGATTTTAGTAATTGACCAATATGTCATAGTGAGTGACCAATATGTCATAGTGATTGACCAATATGTCATAGTGATTGACCAATATGTCATAGTCTTAACCAAGGATTTCTTGAATAATGATATCGTTAATTTTTATTTTTACTTTTTTGTTGTTGCCCTATACAACTGTCATCCTTAAATTACATATTTTTATCTGTGTATTATTTGTTATAAACTAGTCAATGGACTGACACCAAAAAAAGTGAAATATTAAATAAAATATAGAGAGAATTTAACAAAAAGTTGGTACTAATAAATAATAATAATCATAACAATAGCAATAAAAATAACAAAAATGTGTGTAAAATAATATTACAAATAATAACTACTATATAATAAATGTAACAAAAATTAAAAAATATTAAAACAGTTATGATATGATTTATAATCATGAATATTATTATGAAAATAAAAATAATTTCAAAGTTACAGAATCACTATAACTATCATTATAAATACCCTGTGGGCGCAAGACGTAAGAGAAGACGTCTTTTAAACGTCTATAAAATGTTTTAAACGTCTTTCGAAAGTTTTTTGATCAATTTGGACGTCTTTTAAACGCTCAAGAGGCCTCCTTCTTTTAGGTCTCACTGGGTAATACTAAAAAGATAATACTATAACAAATTTATTTTTAAATAATAATAGTAATAAAATAAAAATACTAATATAAAATAAAAAATAATAATGGGTATATTAATACAGTAATATATCATTTTTTCAAATTATAAAATAATAATAAAAAATATAATAATTATTTGTAGGATTTACTTAAATGT